CCAAGGGTGCTGGGGGACATCGCCCCACCAGGCTCGGCAGGCAGCACCCGTGGGTCCCAGCAAGGGGTGCGTTTGGGGAGGGGGAGATGGGGTGCACTGGATGTTGGCAAGGTGCTGGGGGCCAGATCCGGCGTCCTGGGTTTCCGCCATGTGGTTCCATCGGCATCCACCTCGCTGGAGCCTCCCGGAGCTGCTGGTGGAGGAGGAGGAGGAGGATGACGATGAGGAAGGCTCCTCACCAAGCTGCTCACCAAACCCCACGCCGGGGGGGGCGCGCGGTGCCCCCGAGTTGTGGAGTTTAACACAACCGTGATCCTGGCACAGCGCTTCCCAAGCAGAACCAGAAAGATTTTTTAATATAGAACTGGTAGCCAGCGGGTGAATTAAGGATGCTAATTGAATTTCATTAGGCAGAGGAGCCGGGCCGGGGGGAGGCAGGGAGGAAATGTATTTGATGTGGTTTAAAAGCCTCAGTTTCAGAATGTGGTGGGTTTTTTTTTTTTTCTTTTTTTAATTTAAAGGCAGTCGTAAAAAGATCCCGTCTTTGAGGAGCTAATGACTCTCATGAATTATTTTTGTTGATTTATACACCCACTCGGCTTTTAAATAATATTAATAAAGTAAAAGTGAATCCGTTCCCAGGCAGGAGCGGGAGCGATGCTGCTCGGGGGGCGCAGGGACTGTGGGATGGGGAGGGAGGACAGGACAGCCACCGCCTGACCCATGCGTCCCCCGACTCGGGCTGCGGCAGTGAAGCCACGCTGCGCTTTGGGCCAAAACCAGGCGATTTTGGAGGCCACCGCAGCATACCGGCGTTCGCAGCCCCTCGCCAGGGCCGGACGGTGCCCAGCTCCCCTCGGCCGAGCATTAGTATTCAGCGTCAGTGCCGTAATGGGCACTTTTCATGCCGGTTTGGTTTTATTATTCTGCCAAGAAGCTTGCTTAATTCTCTGCTGTCTTTCTTCTGCACTGCTGATTTACACTGTTAGTGGTTTAATTATACAATTCAGCACTCCTTAAAACATGAAAAACTGCTCAACTTTTGAAGCAATTAAAAGGCAGCAGAGTAGATCAGCCCATCAGAGCTGGGGTACGTAAATCAAACAATTAAAAAACTCATCGGGTGGAGGGTGGGGGGGCATCCCACCCAAGAAGCCGCCCCTCGGTGGGAGCCCCACACCTCCCGCCCCCAGCTGCAGGTTTTGGCCCAGTAACTTGTCCTAGAGTAATACTGGGAGCAACTGGTGGGAGCGCTGCGGGATGCAGGGTGACGAGGAGGGGGTAAGGGGGCGGTGGGCACAGGACGGGCACGTAGGAGCCGTGGTGGGGACAGCGCCAGGGTCCAGGAGCAGCATCCCTGCAAAACCCGCTCTCCCATCGCAGCGGGACACCCCACGCGCCCCTTGGGGGCCGGAGAGGGGCGAGCCCGGGTGCAGGACCTGGGCAGAGCTGGCCTTTCCCCGCCGTCACCTACCACTGCCTTTCTTCCTCCTCCTCCTTCTTCTCCCTTGTAACTCTATTCCATCATTCCGGGGAGCTGCCGGCACCGATGGACTCGCATCCCAGGAGTTTTGAGTCTCCGGGATGAGCCGGGATGTACCCACGCTGCCGACACGAGGCACGGCCCCATGACCTTCCGGTCCCCGCGTGGGCACATGAGCGCTGCCAACAGCATCCCCCCACCAGCAGTAATTAAAAGCAGAAGGTAATTAATTACCCACCATGGCTGCAAGATCAGGAACCAGTGGGTAATTAAGCTTTGACAGCTTTAGCACCCAGTGCCGGCTTGGGCCACCTTGGAGTGGGTGCCCATGGGGGTTCGCCCCATGGGGGTTTGCCCCACGCGGGGCCATGGAGGGGGACCCGTGGCATTGGGGCTCGGTCCCGGGGCAGGGTTTGCTTTGCCGTCATGTATGTGCCCAGCCACAGTCCCTCCAAAACCACAGCCCCCGTGGCTGTGGGTGCGCCTGGTCCGATGGATGGGGACGTGCACAGACGGGGCCCCGGGGGACCCGGAAT